TAAGGAGCTCAAATTAAGTTACTATATTGGGGAAACCCTCTTATTTACTATATATACCCATTATGGTAACTTAATTTAAGTTCCTCAACAGCAACCCAGGTTGTGGGCGGCTGCGCCCACCTTCTCCCAACAAGGAGGCTTTGCTTTCTGAAGAAGTTGCCCACGCGGTTTAGGGTTTGGGATTTGGGGTTGAGGGGTCGACGGCTTAGGGTTGAGGGACTGGGTAAGCTATGTACTCCTGAGAATCCCCGATGACCCCCTGTTCTACTCTTTTCTGGGTATATATACTCCTTGTAACTCATGATCCCCGTGAGGCCTGACCTTTGTTGTTTTTTGATATCAGGCTTTGGTTAATCCTCGAGGTCCCTAGGGTGTCCCCTAATGTTGAAGAAGCTTCCATACAGGGATGATTTTGTAATCCCATCATACGAATATCAAACTGCCTCGCCCCTAGCTTTAGATATGTCCCCCAGTCTAGAATGTCTCTTCCACGGCATATTTCATGTTGGCGTTGAGGGAGGTGTTTAGGGTTTAATCAGGGTCGAGGATGAAAGTTGAAGGGATCCCTAAACCCCCCTGTCCCGTTTGTAGTATCTGCAAGAAAAGGCGTTGGCAGTAACACGATTACAGTTTACGAGTTGTAGCGCTACATCCGAAGTTCACACCCTCAAGCCAAGAGCCCAATCACTCAGCACATCCCCGCACCCTAAATCATCAAGCCTCGAACTCCCAAAGTGTGTCTGAAAAGCCCAGAACGCTAGAGCCCGCCAGAGCCCGACATCCTTGAACCAAAAGAATTAAAACCCCACGCCGTTTTGGAATACTTCGCGACTTCTGACAGTCCTTGGCCCTTGCTTGGGCCCCTGACACCTAAAAATTGCTGTAAGTCATGAACCCAGCAGGCAAGCCTGCACGGCGGGCGGCTCTGCTGGGCGCACTGGGCGCCATGACGTCCGACCCGACGTGCCCAGATGCAATATTGATCATGTGCGAGGCGGGAGGGGCTTTTTGTTCGTAGGGCTTTTAGGTGAGTGAACCATGCCCAGATCAATGCCAGCGCACAGGCTACAAAGGGCCTGCAAAGACTAAGCTCCCATGTTTGTTAGGGTATACCGCCGTATCCCCTAAACCCTGAACCGGAACCTCACGCCTTGCAGATGGCTGTGGTGAAAGGCGGCCTGAGCCATGCATCTTCTCATAGGGAGAAGCAACGGGAAAACATAACGGAATCGGACAACACAGGTGTTATGTGGGGAATACAGGTTGTCGGGATGACCTCTCTCAAGAAGGGGCCCCCATCCCTCTCATTAAGTATACTCCGCGCAGCATGATTAACATTGCGGCACGCCTTCTACCTGTAGCTCCCAGTATTTCAGTATGCTACTATTTTCTACTGTCATTGCAGTTGTTGTGAGATCCTTCCTGCCTAGGTGGGCACTCCCTGGTTCCCCACGCTTCGCCGGCACCTATGACGATCCAAAGTATCCAGGCGGATGTGCCTGCGCATTTGAGAGCCGGCAAGAATCTCAGCGATGCAACTGTAACACACGGCTTCGGCTGCTGCTGCTACTGCTGCTACTACTACTACTACTACTACTCCTACTACTGCTGCAACTGCCGCTGCTGCCACTGCCGCCGCTGCTGCTGCTGC